TGTACCTGTTTTGTTGGATTCATCAGGCATGTGCTCCAATGTACCATCAAAGAGTGTTGTTCGATGCCTGCAAATGCCGTTAGACCCAGAAATATTGTATATATCACATGCTTTACTGGTCAAAATATTTGATTGGGGTTTCCAGTTTTTGGAATGGGCTTTTGGTTTTTTTCGCCCTCCCGCAAACCTTTTCGCGAAAAAAAGGACGTTAATCAATGAATTAACAAAGGGTGGCCTTAAGCTTCATTTAGCAAACACAGCCGTACTAATAATCAGGGAAAAAGGGCAACTGAAGTGACACTGGACAACAAGACAAAGGGGAGTAGGGGTGATGTAGTGCGGCTTATACACCAGTACGTTTCTCTTGTGGGGTGACACTCTTGTCCACCGGAACCAGCGCCACTGCCAGCAACCCTGACCTGGGTATAACTGCAAAATGCTTCTCTACTCCCAGAGTGCGGCTGATTGGGGAGGGGGCTTCGCAGGGTATATTATTATTATCATGTTGAGGTTTCCTCAAAAAACACCACCGGCCACCAGAATAGCATAGTTTTGGTGACATTAATCCACCCATACTAGTTGTCAATAGTCTATGACAGTTGTCACAGCAACGGTCGTGAACAGCGGGGATGTTTAACAATGCATTGCTTGGCCAAGCGTGCACACATGTATTCCTGTATTTGAAGAGGTGGAATGCGAAACCCGATAAATCTATTTCATCACATTTCAGAGAATGGCCAAAAGTGGATTCATTTTATGTGCGGTTTGCCTCGTGAATCCATATTTGGGTGGCAGTTTTGAAATGGTTCTAGTCAGAGTTTGAATGCGAACGTTTTCCAGGTGGTGTCCAGTGACATTTTGATAACACTGACCTGATTACACTGAGCTGAAAATCTGATTTTCTCAACTTTGGCGCACATCGGATTTTGCATATCAGTTCTTCATTTCTTACTTGTTTTGTAGCTTTGTGTTTCGTTTGTGGCATTCAGATGCGCCGGTTGTGTAACGGATTAGGGATTCTGTGCTGCCTACATCTACACATCATTCCGTCTTGTTTTTTTTGTTACATGTGGCGTGTTCATGCCACGTGATGTGTGATACGCGATCAGAGGAGTTTGATTCTCTTTCTCTGATTTCTTTCCCCAGCCACTTCAGAACACGAGTCATGTATGTTCCCAGAGTCCTGCACGCAGGACTCGCGGCCCGAGAAGCTTGGTGCCATACCCGACCAATCGGAGAACGATCCCAGTGAGTGCTTAGTCGCAGGTCTAACAACCGTAGCTACCGTATTTCCCGGAGCATAGGCCGCACATTAAATACTCAAAACTCACCCCAGTAGAAGGGGGTGCGGCTTATACTCCGATGAGCAAATTAACGGTGATAGCCAGGGTGGCTGTCTGTAATTCGTGACAAAGAGAGGGGGGGAGGGGGGGGGCAGCTTAAGCTTCATTTTTTTACTAGCAAACACAGCAATGGGTTTGCTCCCACACTGGAGCTCGCGCTATTCCGCCGACGACTTGACACTTGACTGACTCACGACTGCCATCCAGAGAACCATTCCTAAACAAAATCATCGCCGAAGTCGCAACCTCTATTTAGCAAACACAGCCGTACTAATAATCAGGGGAAGAGGACAACTGAACTGACACTGGACAACAAGACAAAGGGGAGTAGGGGTGATGTAGTGCGGCTTATTCACCAGTACGTTTCTCTTGTGGGATGACCCTCTTGTCCACCGGAGCCAACGCCACCGCCAGCACCCCTGACCTGGGTATAACTGCAAAATGCTTCTCTACTCCCAGAGTGCGGCTGATGGGGGAGGGGGCTTAGCAGGGTATAATTATTATTATCATGTTAAGGTTTCCTCAAAGAACACCACCGGCCACCAAAATAGCATAGTTTTGGTGACATTAATCCGCCCATGCTAGTTGTCAATAGTCTATGACAGTTGTCACAGCAACGGTCGTGAACAGCGGGGATGTTTAACAATGCATTGCTTGGCCAAGCGTGCCCACATGCATTGCTTGGCCAAGCGTGCACACATGCATTCCTGTATTTCAAGAGGTGGAATGCAAAACCCGATAAATATAATTATTTCATCACTTTTCGGAGAATGGCCAGAAGTGGATTCACACTTTTCGGAGAATGGCCAGAAGTGGATTCATTTTATGTGCGGTTTGCCTCGTGAATCCATATTTGGGTGGCAGTTTTGAAATGGTTCTAGTCAGAGTTTGAATGTGAACGTTTTCCAGGTGGTTTTCAGTGACATTTTGATAACACTGAGCTGATTACACCGAGCTGAAAATCTGATTTTCTCAACTTTGGCGCATGTCGGATTTTGCATCTCAGTTCTTCATTAAAAGAATTTCTTTCTTGTTTTGTTGCTTTGCGTTTCGTTTGTGGCATGCAGAGGCCAGGCCGGTTGTGTAAAGGATTAGGGAGAACAACGTTCCGGGCTCCGTTCAACCTTGCCCGATCTGCTCACTTTGTGAGCTGCTTGAACCGCTGATCTCCATGAGATCGGGCCTGATGCTGAAAACTTGTCAGCGGCGAAGGCTTGACGTTGAGAGTACTGCAAGTGCTGGTAACTACCTGCTACATTCACCTGCACTTTTTATCCCCCCCCCCCTTTTTTTAGGCCTAAGGGAAGCTCTACGACTTCAATTGTGCCACTCAGAGGATTTTTCTGCGGCGAAGGCGTGTCGTCGTGAGTGCCCCTACTGAAAGCCTACCTTCTGTATTCACCTGCATCTTTCGTTTACTTTTTCTTTTTTTTACTAAGAAGCTGTGTGGAACCTTTCCGACTGCAATTGTGCCACTAAGAGAATTAGTACAGCGCAGCTCTGCTCAGTGTTACTGTCACAGAGTACGGCCTTTTGCTCACTGCCCGTGTGTGTGCAGGCCTGCGGGGTATACCATCGTCGCATTGCTCCCCACCTTCTGATCGTTATCCTTTTGTCATTCTGATTCAACTCAACATCATATTCACTATCCCTTTACTTGAGTCTAGCCGGTACGCGGTGCCGGCAAACTTGTGTCTGGACCAAAACGGACCCAGCGACTTGATCTAGGTATTGCAAAAATAATATTGACAATAATTGTTATTTTGCTTCATAACTCGTTTCCATGTGATTTCTTGTATTTTAATAATACACTTTAAACATTCTATTACACTTTAAACATTCTATACACAACAGATTTACAGCTACGTTTGTGCTTCTTGTCTTTATGTCTCCCGTATCAACGGCTTCTCTTACCATGTCCAGCATAAGCGAACGTGTGGACTGTGTTTGTGCATGGGTGACTTGCACTTGCACTGTTGACGCTACCGCGGGAATGCATTATAATAATAATAATATAACTTTATTTAGTACCATATTTAGCATTGGATTAATCGATTGCGCATTGGTACCATATTTATTCATCATCCTCGACGAGAAAAACCTTTTTACGCGCGCATGTAGATGTAGACGAGACTAGTATTGCAAATGTGCACGGAGGACCCTCACCATGAAGCTTCACTATGGGACCGTTACTTCAATCTATCATTCTATCATTATGCTTGTACTGAAGTATGTGTGGCAGCGTTAGTGCGAACTTCTAATAGATTGTCTGCTTCACGCGCTTGTCTAGTATTAGACCAATCCCGAAAAGATTGTCTGGGTTCGAAAGGGGGCATGTCAACTGAGAGTACACTGTACAACACATACATGGCACTACCTGATCAGCATGCGGCACAGGACGATTTTGATAGTTCGCGTGTGAATGCGAGGGTAAGTACACGGTTTTCTCGTTAGTTGCATGCAAGAGAGACGATGCGACAGAAAGCAAAGCCCTTTGTAGTTTTCCTCTCTCGCACTGGTAATGGTCTGCTGTTGGAGTTGAAATGCTAAGTCATAATCCTTGTTTCGCTCTTCTGTGTAGTGTGAAGAGGTCAACGAACATGTAGAGCTCACATTGATGAAGTAGGCAAGGCTGTGAGCGCTGTGGCTCAAAGCGATAGGCCCTAAATCTTACGAGATATTTCGACTGCTATTGTTTGTTGCGAGCGCTTCGTCTTCGATGAGTCCTGCCTCTTTCCTGGCAGGTGCCCTCCTATAGGACCAACCACGAAGTGACTGTACTCATCTGCAGCCGATCAATGTTATATTGCACAAGAAGATAGCGTTTTCGCCAAGCCAGTGCCCCGCCAAAGACCATCGCCGTGTCACACCGTCGGAACGAGTTCATGATGAGAAACATCATTCGCGCGAGCGTGATGAAGAACTATTTCGAAAGACAACATAGTCTTTACCCCCGAGACGACAACTATGTGCACGTCCTGCAAGGGGAGAATGTCACCAGCGACATCAACGAAGACGACGGCAGTATTTCGGAAACCTGGAGTCAGCGGAGGTCGTCAAGCTCCTCCGCGATCCGTACATGTACTAGATCTACAGTATGGGTGACATGTCGACACGAGCGTGCGGAAACACAGCATACACTGTAGTAATGTTGCGAGAGTTTGCGGAAGAAGTCCAAGTCGGGAAATCCATCAGCTCCAAAAGCTACCTGTAGGTGGGCGATGAGACTCCAGCTTCAGACTACAACAGTCAGGACTTGTAAATAGTTGAACTTTGTGAAGCAGCAGATCGAGAAGTTAGCTGAAATCGTAGCTGTTGCAGTATGTCGGCGCTATGTAGCTTGCATTTTTTACGGAGAGTCGATCGCCACGCGAATAGTTCTCTCCTCACCGAGAGCTATCTGGCCTCCAAACTCCGTCAGGGTCTGCCTAAGGTACCGAAGGTCCTTTGACTAGCTGCTGGCAGGACTCCATCAAATCCTTTAGCTTCAGCTCGGCGAGCAAAAGTCTCTCTCTCCTCCGCCATGAGCTGACACACACAAACTGAATACAAAACGATGCACTTCACACGTGCTGGCTTGCACGCGTGCCCCCTTTCACGAACCCAGACAATCTTTTCGGGATTGGTCTATTCTAGCGCCATCTGTATGCAGGTCCCAACAGCACTGTGCGTTTCTTGATCACCTTTAGAACTTTTGACACCTTCAACTTCTTTGGTTATGCCACTTTTCTATGTAGAAAGTGCGCAATTGCGCCAGCAATTGCGCCTCTTTACCCTACTAATATACTCATTCCTTTACCTGCCATTCATTCGTTATCTACCTCCACTGAGGATCTCCTAACGAGCGAAGCAGCTGTCTGGAGGATGTGGAACATCTACCCAAGAACGAACATTGTCGCTTTGGAGTGGTGTTGTAATTATATCTCTATCTCTAATAATATCTCCTGACATGCAAACGTACATACCGTCGGGGCCGAAAACACCACCCTTACGTTGCCTCGTGAGTCGTGTTTTCGTGTTGTTCTGTGTGCTCGACTGCTCGTTGTATCATTTCGAGCTACAGCATCTATGACTCGATCATTGAGTGTGCCGGAGGTCTCAATGCACGGGGAAGATCATGCTCGGTTTGACTGATCATTTGGCAAACCGTAAAAATATCCATGCTCTCAAGCTAAACCCACATCCCTGAACAGGGGATTTTTGCCGAATATTGGTAACAGCCATTGCGTATTGTGAGCCTTTGACTGACTGCCACCGGTCAGTTACTGTGAGTGTCCATATCCTCACAGTTGCCAACTGGAGAGTAGAGTGTGCGGACCACTGAAGTACTAGTAGTAGTAGAGCTCTGCTGATAAAGGTCATCGTGTGACGGGTTAGTAGAGTCTACCAGACGTCCCGGGTGCATCAGGTGACTATTGAGTGTTATCACTCCCTTAGTATTGACTCACATAGATTTTGCCATACCTAAGTAGTCAAATATTCCTGCATATTTCACTCCTTAGGGCTATATTGACCGCTTATATTTGACTCCTTTTTAGCGATTGAACACATGCTTTGGTCAGTCGTGATAAATCTAATATTGACTTCGTACTTGGTCAGTATAGGAAATAAAAGACCTCGTAAAAGACCTCGACTTCGCCCCGGTCTTTTACTCGGCTTTTATTTCCTATTGACCTCGTAGATCTACTCAGTCAATATCAGATACATACCGAAGTAAGCAGGGAGTCGTAAAAACAAGTCCCTGGTATTGCGTGTAGAGCGAGTTCGCATGACCATGACCATGATGACTGATGAGGCATGATGACATCCACTGGCTATCACGAGATTTCGCCATGGCTATAAAAATTTTATTATTGTCAATGTCAATGCATAGGCTAGCTAGCTACACACATGTGCATGATGTATCACGAGGTTCAACCATGGCGGGAATCATAGCTAACAAAGGTCAAAAATGGTGACGCCCGCTGAAACGGACAACATGAAGACTTCGCATACACTACTCGTAGTATCGGCTTTCGCTTCACGCCTATCTACCCTACATGACGTAGATCTACTACTAGCGCTACACAATCGTTCTGATAGATTTGTGCTTAGCGGACTACGGTCGGTCAACAACAACTGAACTAGAATATCAGTATCAGTTACGGAGTTTGTAAACCAATTGCCCACTTCGACACGTCTCGACTTCATTGTCCTTCGTTCTTGTTGATTCAGTGAGTACAATGTTCATGTTGCTCTAGCGTTATGGAGCTGGAAGCTTTGCCATTGATGAGAGAGTTAGGCCTGACAAATCAGGATATTGTTTTCTTGGGAGAAGTGCGAGTGAGGCAAGAAGATGAACTTGGTCGTGGCTCCGATGCACTCGTGTACCGGCTGAACTGGCAGGGAATAGATATCGCCCTGAAGGTTCTGCATCCCATTTTGATTGAGCCTGGTGTTCTGGACCGGGAGAGGAAAATCCGTTCATTCGGCCAAGAGGTATTCCGTCTCAGTCGCATCCACCACCCCAACCTATGTCAATTGCTGGGCATTGCCAGGGTTGGGCGAAACGCTGCTCTCGCGTTGGAGTTGCTGACTTCGACGTTGGAAGAGTTGAGTATTGGTGAGGGTCGGGAGGATGGCTTGAAGTTGATCGGCTACCTCTGCGACACGTCGGCTGGTATCAGATACCTGCACGTTCGTGGTATAATCCACCGGGACCTCGCACCGAAGAATGTGATGATCAAGAACGGAGTCGCAAAGGTATGCGATTTTGGTGTGGCGAAATTCGTACGTTTGGCATCCCCTCGTCAACAGCAGCACCAGGTGCAGGCGGCTCGAATGGACATGACCCGTTGCCCCGGAACGCTGGTTTTTATGCCACCGGAGGCTATGGTAGAGGAACCAGACTATGATCGTCCGCTGGATATCTTCTCGTTGGGAGTTACGCTACTGGCTGTTATCACTGGTGTTATGCCTGGGATCGACCTGATCAATGCCCCGTCCATTGTAATCGTCCGCGACACCGCCAGTGGACGGGAAACGACGCAGGTGGTGGCGGAGACAAGACGGCGTGCTGCTTATCTGCGGCGACTGGCAGATGACCACCCACTGAAGCCGCTAGCAGTTCGCTGCCACTCCAATGAACCGAGCGAGCGACCGACCGCCGAGGAAGTACACGAGGAGATGAAGCGAGTGTTGCAGCTATTCACCAGCCTTTCGTCGGTACGTAGTTTGTTGAAAGGGTTTTTAGTGGCATTTCCAAATGTCTTCTTCAGTGTGACTATTTCGTACGTACCTATTTTGCGGTGTATCGAAAGGAGTCACACTCATGTATTGCCTTTCGTAGACTAGTGCATACGTGTTGTGCTAGGGTCATTCCGTGTCAATTCCGGTTCGATTTCCAGCTTAAGCTTGTATATCAACTCAATTGCTAAGTGCATTTTAAGCTCTGCATTGTGCGAGAACAATATTCCATGGATTGCCAGTTGCTTTCTTGCTAGATATATACGGATACTTCATTATGACTGTTTTTCTTCCATATGCCTACGTCATGACTGTATATCTGTTGATGTGCATTTCCTCTGTGTGGTGTTGGTGTGCTGGTATGGTGTGTGTGGTGACGCTGTATTGCCTCAACCCCGTCTGTTCACTGCAGCCTCATCCTTCCAATGTACCACCGGCTGTTGTACGTCGACTGGACTCTATCTCCGAACAGCTAGCCGAGCAAGCTACGTCCATCACCGCGCTGTCCGCGCGGAGTGATACGCTAGAGGAACAGCTCACAGCGGCCATTACCAACAACCAGACCACGACACCACAACAACTGATGGAAACACAACAACAACTTGCAACGGCCATTACAAACAACCAGGCAACGACACACCAACAACTTACGATCATCACCAACAACCAGACAGCGACACAACAACAACTGACTGCCACGCAGCAACAACTGACTGCTACTCAACAAGAAGTATCCACTTTACGCAACGAACAAACCACCACTAGACACCAAGTACAAGCTCTGACCGACCGGCTGAATGGTACAAACGACCGGCTCGACCACCAGACAACCACACTGACTGACCAACTCAGTGATACAAACCAACGGCTCCATCAACAAACAACCACACTGACACAGACTTCCCTACAAATCTCTTCACTGCGTGACCAAGTTTCTTGTGTCTCTGACCAGCTGTCAAGGTTGTCTGCTTCAACCCATCAGGTAAGTGTTTATTCCAGGAAAAAGACCGCTAGTTCATCAATATCAGATTAGCTGTTCATCCTGAATTACAATTTTGAACCGTTTAGAAATTAGAAACTGGTTGCAGCTGTGTCCCATGTTTCCGATGTTTCCGATTCTTCAAACTCATGTGGACCCGTACGATTTTGCAGTGTTGTTGTGGACTTTTCTTTTACTTCGCAAGGCCAAACAGGCAATGGTGTCAAATTCTATGAAAGCGAATTTCAAAGCGGGAGAGAGCAAGCGAGCGACGGAGAGAGCGAGCGAGCGACGGAGAGAGCGAGCGAGCGACGGAGAGAGAGAGCGAGCGACGGAGAGAGAGAGAGAGAGAGAGAGAGAGAGAGAGAGAGAGAGAGAGAGAGAGAGAGAGAGAGAGAGAGGGAGAGAGAGAGGGAGAGGGAGAGGGAGAGGGAGAGGGAGAGGGAGAGGGAGAGGGAGAGGGAGAGGGAGAGGGAGAGAGGGAGAGGGAGAGAGGGAGAGAGGGAGAGAGGGAGAGAGGGAGAGAGGGAGAGAGGGAGAGAGGGAGAGAGGGAGAGAGGGAGAGAGGGAGAGAGGGAGAGAGGGAGAGAGAGAGAGAGAGAGAGAGAGAGAGAGAGAGAGAGAGAGAGGAGAGGGAGAGGGAGAGGGAGAGGGAGAGGGAGAGGGAGAGGGAGAGGGAGAGGGAGGGAGAGGGAGAGGGAGAGGGAGAGAGAGAGAGAGAGAGAGAGAGACAGCCAGACAGACAGACAGACAGAAAGAGATAAGGGGGGGGGGGGAGATACAGAGCAATAAATCCTATAGTAAGATGGTAGCCCTTTATGGAGTCACTGTAGACCATAGATGGGTGAAGGCTCCTAGCGGATGATGATGTTTGTACAGTGGACACCAAACGAAACGTGATGGCATGCTGGACCTCTTTTGGAAGATAAGGATATCAGACAACTGCAATCTGTGCCAGCAATCAAGTTTATAATAATTACGGGCTTGCCCACAGCGTACTGAACTTTTCTGTAACGTGACTTGTCAGAAATTGACGTACGACCAACTGCTGGGGTTGATGCTTTTGTGTTCGTGCATACGAGTGTGTGCATGTGTGTGCATGCATGTGTGTGCTTGCATGTGTGTGCATGCATGTGTGTGCTTGCATGTGTGTGCTTGGCTGCTTGTGTGTGCACACACTTGCATACAGTACTCGCACGATTAGTGCCCCTGGGGCGTACTTTTTTCAATGACCATCACAGTATTCAAGGGAGGGCTCTATTTTTTCACCGGCTCTCAGAGACTGGGGCACTATTTGAGCTAGGGCACTGTTCAAGAGAGGGCTCTATTCGGCGTGAGGACGGTGTTCGTGCCTGTGTATGTGTGTGTGTTTTTGTTAGCTGCAGGTATCCGCTCCAAGGCCTGCCACTGTACCAGGCGGCCGGTCAGGTTCTGCCACTGCCTCTGCTACAACCGCTAGGGTAAGTTGAGCAACATCGTTGTCTTTATTTATTTTATAATAAAAACTGTAATGCCAGTTTTAAAATAGGGCGATTTAACGGCCAATGCTTGGACACCGGCTTGGACATGTGTCTGTGTATGTGTGTGTGTGTGTTTTTTTGGTTAGCTGCAGGTATCCGCTCCAAGTCCTGCCACTGTACCAGGCGGCCGGTCAGGTTCTGCCACGGCCTCTGCTACAACCGCTAGGGTAAGTTGGGCAACATTGTTGGCGATAATAATTATTAGAGGAAAGTTAAATCCTCCCCACACCGAAGCTCATGTTTTTACACCGACTTGACTGAACACTTGAGAGACTGAAAAATTTGAACAAAAGCACACAAGAAATCAATCATAATTTCGTCTCGCCAAACTTGCAAGAAGGCATCAATCCTGGCTCAACAAGCAGTGTTTGGAGATTTCGTCCTCCGTCAAGAAACAGTTTTAGGGTCAAGTCAGGTCGGTGAGAACCTCCGGTGTGGGGAGAAACCAATTTTCCAGTGAAATTATTGCCAAAATTGCTACCACTACCTAGTATGTACAGATACCAGTACAAATTCCTATGATTGTGTATCTCGGCTGTTTTAGGCGAAAGCTACAGCAGCTGCAAGCACAACCGAATCAGCCGTTGGTAGAGGATATCATCTCTTACCTGCTATGCCAACACCAACTCAGCTTGCAAACATCAAGAAACGCAGAGAGGTACGATTGGATAAGACCATTATGCTTTTATCACGTAGTAGTAGTAGTAACAAGTCCAGACAAGGTTGATTACCAGATATTATAGAAACTGTCTTGTTAGTACATACCCTTCCCTCTCCCCGGGGCCAATACCAAAGATATCCCCCAAAATAAAGAAATTGACGTATTTTGTGTATATTTATTAATTTTATTTCGATTCTGCGGCCAATTTGTTTTATCCATTATTAATAAGTGGTGGTCAGATGCCTACATGGGTATTGAGCACTCTTCGGACAGTGAAGCACACCACTTGATTACGTTATGAAGTCAGATGGTGATCCAAGGAAAATATTAAATTGAAACAAGGACGGTCAAAACCTGGTTTACTTCGTGGACTCTAACGCATAACTTGTGCCCCACCGTTTTCCTGACTATCTGTTCGGGCGTGTATCTCAGTCTGTAATAAGTAAACAAGCATTTCTGAAACAGCAGTTTTAGAAACGCTTGTTTACTTATTTTAGACGGAGATACACGCCCAATCAGATACCTATTCTGAACACTGTGCTGGCAAATACTTCCTCCGTATACAAAATATCGTGGCTTTTTTCAACGGTGTTTTTGAGCAAGAAACTGCTCAACCAACCGCACCAAAGGCTGGCATCGTCAACCCACAATCATGTCGAGGTAAGTTTGGTTGATCCCGAACAGATTCTCCTCGGAAGCCATGCGTGTGAGGACGTTGCCGACTGGAACTCACGAGTCAAGTGAAAAAAACTACCACTTACTTGCTGTAGAGTCGAAATTGACACAGTGACGAAGTGGAGCTAGCTAGCGGCTAGAACACGGAGTCACGCGGCACTTGCTGCCCTGAAGCTGGCCAGGCGCGTACTTACGGTGCACGGCCCCATACGCAGCGTGAAAACAAAAAGCTGTTCCGCTCGCACGGTAAGATGAAACGTTTCAGTCGTCATGCAACAAGCGCAGACTCCGGATTGGAACGTCGACGACCTGGCTTTCTTCGTCTCTCTCCAGTAAGACATCTCGTTGTCGCCAAGGGGAATCGCAGGGACCTCCTTGAAGCCTTTGTAGAATGATGGAAGGAGTATCCTGCCGAGAAAATGCCAAGCGTGTGGATGTGCTTGTACGACTCGTTTCACGGCATATGGGAGGTCGCAGGTTGGAAAGACTGAATTTAGTCGACACCGATTTGTACACAGCTCTGGAGATGAAGGGCACGTAACCAAAGTCCCGCGCCGGATCATCACTGCAGCTGACGAGAAGTTGAACCAAATGCTAGTGGAAGCAGCAATTGTTGGCGATGCGGAGTCACCGACGTCAGGTGACAATGACACGAGCGAGGAACTCAATCTCATTCATCTGAGTTGCTTTCTTTCTTAGTATATACAGGCTAGACAATGGCACGAGTGTTATTCCAAGTCAAACGGAACAACTCCAGAGCTGTGCGCAGCCTTTAAAGGGGAAGTTAAGGCAAAAATCAAAATTTCACCAGTTGTAGTCTTCGGGGTGCTAAGTCGAATGGTCTTGGTCCGAGAAGGCTGAGACGCTCCCTTCCTACTTGAATCCCAATCGAACTCGCGCACTTCCACCGAAACTGGGTGACTGCGCCCTACTAGATGGGGATTTTGTTATGCAAGATGTCACTAAAAGCGCCATTTCTTTCTTATAAAAGCACGGATGACTGCGATTGGCACATATGTTGTAGTCTTTTGGACGCTGAGTCGACAGGTTTTGGTCCGAAAAGGCTGCGATGCAGCGTTCGGCCCTTATTCCCAATCGAACGTTGTTGAACAAGCGGTCACGTGCTCCTGGGTGCCCAAATCACCTGGTCACCACGCCAGCAGGCGACAACTTTCACACCATGGTTCAACTCGAGTTCAACTCGAGTGACAGGAGTGCACCCAAAAAAGGTCAAACAGGCTAGTAAGTTGTACCCTGCAGGCACGGTGACCTCGACCAGGTGACTGGTGTACGCAGGAGCACGTGACCGCTTGTTCAACCATGTTTGATTGGGAATAAAGGAGGAACGCTGCATCGCAGCCTTTTCGGACCAAAACCAGTCGACTCAGCGTCCAAAAGACTACAACATATGGGCCAATCGCAGTCATCCGTGCTTTTATAAGAACGAAATGGCGCTTTTAGTGACATTTTGCATACAAATCCCCATCTAGTTCCCGTTTTCTTTTTTCCGTGCTTCATGTTGTTTTCTGCCTTGACGTCAGCATCTTCCATATTTGATTTCTGTTTACCACCACTCAGCATAAGCGAAATCATCAATCATTTTAATTGACGATGACGCGAAAATGCAAATAATAATAATAAGTAGGGCGCAGTCACCCAGTTTCGGTGGAAGTGCGCGAGTTCGATTGGGATTCAAGTAGGAAGGGAGCGTCTCAGCTTTCTCGAACCAAGACCATTCGACTCAGCACCCCGAAGACTAATAATAATAAACACAGCTCGCATCTTCCCTGAACCTGTTAGACTGGAGCAGAGTCGACGCATCTGTCACCAGTGTCAAGCCAAGTTAGTCTATCTCCTGCAGCTTGGACTTCCCCTTTAAAAATGTCACGAAGTTTTTGTATACTGAGGAAGTGTTAAGAAGGCAATAAGTATAAAGTATGATAATTCGACGCTAAAATAAAGTTATACAGTATGGTATAATTCGTATCTAAAGAAGAAAACTGTCAAACTATTTAATATCATTCTGAAGACAAAAAAACACATAGCTAGAATATGTTCTTTATATCATTCGCAATTGTGTACAATCATGTTCCATTATGTCAATTTGTGCCCATTTCTGTGCATGCCTTTCCACGTGTGTGTGTGTGTGTGTGTGTGTGTGTGTGCGTGCGCGTGTGTGCGTATCTGCATGCTTATGTCTGTATGTGCATTTATTGTCCGGTGCGTGTTTTTGTAATTATATGCAGTGGCAAAAGTTAGAAGTACGGCAGCATGGCAAACATGCCCTAGTAGCTACGTACAGTGACAAACTGGTTGCCGTGTGGTCTGATGGTGTGGACGTCACAAAGATCATGGAGACAACAGACCTGCAGACATGGCGCAGTATTGACCTACCACGTGAATACAGTAAGCTGGCTGTCCCATCACTGGCATCCCATGGTGGTATGCTGTACATGCACTGTACCACACTCCCCAAGAGCACCACCAGGGGTGTGCGCTCTATTCTGCAGTACTGCGACACACCAGATAACGGTGATGGCAGCCGCGGTGGTGGTGGTCGTCGTCGTCAATGGGCCAAAGTTACGGACGTCCCGTCGCACTGTAGCCATACCTGGTGTACTCTACATGCATGTGATGATGCTATTTCTCTATATGGTGGCAAGCATCGTGGAACAAAGCACAAACATGTTAGTACCTACTCGAAGTGTTCTCTAGCTAGCAAGCAGTGGAGCTCTTCTTCATCATCCAATACTAGCCTAGTATTACCTTCATTGCCACTACCATGCTACAGTGCATCACTTGTCACATTCCCTGATTCACTGTACTTAGTTGGTGGCGATACAGGTTGTTTCTTCCAACACCATGATGGTAGGTGGGTTTCCACCAGTCCACCGGATGGTGTTGAGCTGAAGTTTAGTGCAGCATGCGCGCTGTCTGAGCATAGCATGGTTATTTGCCCACGCACTCCTGCTGCTGAGTGTGTTGTACATGATATTCTATCTGGTCAGAGCTATCCACTACCCGCTATCCCTGCGGTGAGTAGGTGCACTCCATCTCTCATACTTTTTGGCAGTACCCTGGTACGCAGTGTAGCTGGTTTTGGCAGTTGTCCTGCTGCTCTGTACACACTGGATATGAGTGTGTGAGTGTAGTAGGTTACTAACTACAGTCAATCACTGATGATAACTACAGTATGCAAACTGTACTGCTTTTCACTTTCTTTCTGATTATCAGAAATTTAAAATCTTTGTTTTCACATCACCGTCTGGCCGTCAAGTAATTGTCTAGGTTTATTCTGCCTCATCCCCTGTAACATATACCCAGATCTTTGTCCGTGAATATCACTCTTACCTGTACATAAAAACTCATGTCCCAACTCAATCTGCGCCGGACAGAACTGTTTCGTCTTTCATACTCATTATTTATTTTTATGTCTCTTTTTTTAAACTCTCTTTTATTATAAATTCTACTTATACCTTTAAGTAGAAAAGGGTTTTTCCCTGAACTTTTTCTTTCAGGAAATATTCTTTCACAATGCCATACCCGCCCTTTTCTTGATGCCTCCGCAGCGGCCATGTGAATTTGGAGCTGATAACTTTTGTTGATTTTGTGTGTATGCGTGTACGCTTTGGGGGAAGGGGTCCGGGAGAAGGGGGTGCCTTCGCACCATGCATGGTATCCATGATTGGAGTGCAATACATGTATGTTCAAGAGGCTCAGTGTTCAATAAGCACCAGATACTGATGCTTGTCTGCATGTTTGTACTTTGCATATCGTATCTCCATAACATTGCCATGCCTGGTTTCTTCTGTGGACGAGAGAGAGAAAGAGAGACAGAGAAAAGGGGAAAAAACAAACACAATACCCAGTGCGGTAGACGGCAAGCTGTTTCGGCCATGAATGCCTCATCAGTACCGCTACAGTGTATGAGCACTATGTAAGCCGAGCTACCAGCCATGGTGCAAAGGAGGCACCACAGGCATTAAGATAGTCCCTTACTACTAAGTTACTACTAGTACTCTAGCGCCAGAGTGCTCTACCTAGTACGAAAAGTAGCCGGCAAAGCGTATTACGGTAATGCAGCAGTGCTACAGTCCATTCATCGGAAACTGGCCCGCTGGCTTTTGAAAGTCGGATTTGGGCCGAATTGAGGATCAAAAACCCACTTTAAATCTCAAAAATCTGGGTTTTGGATCTGCTTCTCCATACATTTTGCCATGGTATACCTGTCCTAATTTTGTAAAACCTGGCTGAATTTCTATTTCCCTGTTCTTGGACTTTTCTGGCCTCAAATGTGGCAAGGAGTAATTGCACGGGTCACACCCTGTAGGATGTACTGTTGTTTTCACGATATCTACAACTATGTGAGAGAGACACCAAAAAGTTAGTGTGCCAGTTTCCAATGAATGGACTGTAGAGCAGCCCGCCGAGAGTGCTCAACAAGACGAATGTCGAGGAGCATAATACCCAATGCTGTAGACAGCAAGCTGTCTCAGGCAGAAAGGCCTCATCAGTACGGCTAAAAAAATACAATAAAGAGAGAGGAGGCTTGTAGCCGCTTTTAGTTATAATGAAGTATGCGGTTAAGAGCAGACCTGCCCTTTCTCGATCACTCTCCAATCATTGAACTTGTTTTTTAAAGATTACGTTTTGGTTTGGTTTGGTTTGGTTTGGTTTGGTTTGGTTTGGTTTGGTTTGGTTTGGTTTGGTTTGGTTTGGATTTATTATTTCAGTTCGTTGTCTGAACAGTAAGTAAAGTAAGTAAATTATCGTGTCCGTTCCCGAAGGGAACTCACACTGAACACTGAACAGTACAAAGTACAAATATCAAAAGGGACGAAGGAAAAGAGAAAGTGAAACAGACGTTCATGTTTTCAGGACTGCATATGCACGCGTGACGGTGGAGGCAGCTTATGAGGAGACGGTAGCGGAAAAGGCATTCTGGCCTGACATGCTTTTCTCCACCATCCGACCCTGGCGCTTCAAAAGTGACAGCTTTGGCACCGGCACAAACAATGCCGCAACAACTAGGGAATGATGGCCATTTCCCACCTCAATCCACTGGCTCGGCCATACTACCCACATTGCCAGGAAAAGCTAAACTTGTTCTCCATCAACTGCCGTTCCGTTCTCAACAAATCCGCATAATTGTCGGCTATTGCTGAGATCCACAGACTCGACATTATCTGCCTCAGTGAAACCTGGTTAGCTCCAAGTGTCGCCCTTAGCATCTCCGGATACACCACCTTTCGGCGTGATCGACCTCCTGACGAAACCAAGTCTAGTACTGCCTCGAGGGGATATGGTGGAGTCGCTATTCTCGTTCGTGATCATCGTTTCAGTTGTATCCAACTTCGCTACGACCTTAGTTGCCCTACCTGTGAAAAGGTGTGGGTGGAGCTTAAACCTTGTTCCGGCTCCCCAAAGCCTATTATTGTCTGCAGAGTCTATGGTCTACCCTCTGCCAAAAGCACAGAGATAAATCACTTCTGCAACATGCTCACGGATGCCCTGGTCACTATCCCGATGTCCTCGTACCACGTCATACTGACTGGAGGCTTCAACTGTAAGCACCAGCACTGGTGCTCAACTGATTTAACATGCCCTGCGGGAGCTGCGCTCTACCGCCACCTCACCTGCTTCTGACTAGACCAGCTTGTGAATACCCCAACACACAGCACCTGCAGAGACCCAGTCGTCCTAAGACCTTCTCTACGTCAACAACTCCCAGCTTGCAACGGATATTAGCACGACTTGTGCTCTTGGATCCTCGGATCATCTGACAGTGTCATGTTGGCTCAATCTCTCACCATCACCTGGCCGACATCTGCAGCAGACACCACGCAAACATTTCCCTTACCGCTACCGTCATGTCCCCTCCCACTGCTGGGACTCTCTTAATTCTGATCTCTCTCATTGTGACTGGTCATTTCTACCCCCAGGCAACTCCCCAACTGTTGACGACGCAGTCGATCGATTTTCAATCATCCTGGAGCAAACCTTCCAGCACCACCTTGCTGATTTTTTCACCCATTCTTGTCGGTCATACGCACGGACATCGTCTGTGACATCCAATCCACCTTGGGTGTCGACTGTCCTCGTATCTGCGGGGAAACGTAAACGAGACCTCTTCAGTTTCAGCCGAAAATTTCAGACACCTGCCAACCTGGAGGCCTACCGAGTGCAACGCAACTTTGTCAAATACCTCTCCAGTAAAACCTGCCGCTCTTACATCAGCTCCATCTCTGCAACAATCTCATCACCCAATCGTCCTTTCTCTCTATCAGTTCATTCGCATCGAGCGTCCCAGTGTCTCTCGCGCCCCCAACCAGTGCTTGATTGATCCTGATGGCAACCGTCAGCCTGAGGCAAAGTCCATTGCGAACACTCTCAACAAACAGTTTGTCTCCTCCGGCCTTCCCGACGATCCGAACTGGGTTATCCCGCCCCTGAACCCAGCTCCTGAGCTGCGCGCTCCACTTCTGGACGTCTTTACAACAACTGGTGTGGTCCGCAAACAACTTCAACGTCTAAAGAGCTGCAAGTCTCCTGGAAAAGACGGTATACCAAATGAAATCCTTAAACTGCTGGTGCCTTCCTTGTCTTATCTCCTGTGCTTGCTCTTCAACTTGTCCTATAGTGCAGGAGTCTTCCCATCTGCGTGGAAATCTGCTATTGTTGTCCCGATATTTAAGAAAGGACAACACTACCAAGCTGTTAATTACAGGCCCATCTCCCTCCTACCAACTATATCCAAGGTATGTGAACGCATCTTCTATGAAGCTCTCTACCACCATGTTACCGCTGCCCTCTCCTCTGCACAATCCGGCTTCTGTCGTGGCGATTCAACTACTTTGCAATTGACACGCTTAATCCAGGATATTTACGGACATCGTAACCTGAAGAAGCATGTAGGTCTTGTCTTTTTTGATCTATCAAAAGCGTTCGATACAGTCTGGCATCGAGGCCTACTTGCTAAGCTCGAGTCCATTTTTCTAGTACGTGGTACAGCTCTGCAGTGGCTGTCGTCATATTTGTCGTCCCGTCATCAAACTGTCCGTGTCTCTGCTTCCTTGTCCGATTCTTTACCTGTAGTGTCTGGTGTTCCACAGGGGTCCCATACTGGGTCCACTCCTTTTTCTAACTTATGTAAACGATCTGCCCTCTCTAGTACCAGACGTCAGCCTTTTGCTGACGACACTGCACTGTTGTACTCTGACAGCTGGCCGTCCAACCTCCTTACCTCCATGCAGACCGGCATTAACTCCACGATAACATGGATGGAAGCTTGGAAGCTAAGGCCTAACAACGCGAACACCGAAGCCATGTTCATCAGCCCATCGCCGCCCACTCGGCCGTTGCACTTTCCAGGAGCCAATGCTAGCATCAATATTGTTCAGCAACACAAACACAGTGGTGTTATAATCGACAGCCACATGTCCTGGTCCCCACAGGTCCAGTCAGTATGCAAGCGAGCTAGTTCCTCCCTTGGCATGCTGCAAGCTCACTGCCAACGTAAAAAAAATTAAATGACCATTGCCGAAAATTGTTCTTTACGTCGTATATTCTACCTTTATTTGATTATTAGAGAGGTTTTGCATTCCGAATTTCGGAATGTTTTTCGACTGTGCTTTTCCGAAAAAAGTGCGTGCCGAAAAACGTGATACAGCGTGGTGCGGCCTGTCTCAGGCTCTTGTTCAAACTCTGGAAATACACCAGCGTCTGCTTTTAAAAATCCAGTCTCAGTCTCGCAAAGATCAAACATTCTCCTCCCAACGTCTCTACAGTTTAGCTTCAGTATCTCCCCTATTAGAGCGACACTAGCAACATCTTTGCATCCTTGTACACATGATCTTATTAGACCTGGTTCCCAAACACTTTGCTAAGTATAACTGGTTTGTGTCCACCAGATCAACACGTAATTCCTTCTCATTACCCTGGGTCAACACCTCCCTGTTTCTGAAATCTCCTATCCTCTCCGCGTACACTCACTGGTCTGCCCTGCCAGCTAGCCTTAAAACATGCACAGAATTAAAGAGTTCAAGCTCCAGCTTCTTCGTCCTAAATAATCCCACCATTCTCGTCATGCATCTCCTTGCAGTACTCTCTTTTGTTTCTCTCCTTATTATTTAGTTCGCCGTGGTTGGCTACCACCCGACTTCTCATACATATTGGCAGTCTACGACAAGCCAGGAGATGTTGAATAAATTTATTATTTATTATAAGCACTATTGCGATGTAAGCGGGGATGCCTACTTCACTTGTGCCATTCAGGAAGATGATAAAGAGAAAGACAAACAGAAAGCTCAGAATCTTGAGGAACAATGCTGTAGAGCAGAATAGCTGTAACCGATTGGATGCACTACAGAAAGTCGAAAATTATTAGTTCATTGATAAAAGCTGGTGTGTTGTCTCGTCATTTCTGACTACAGTGGTCCCTCTATAATCCGGCACCATTTGTGCCACGAAAATCTGCTGGATAAGGGAGGGTGCTGGATTAGCAAATCTGATGTACTGTTGCAATGTACATGAAGAGGACATTTTGGCTACTGAAAATTGTGCTGGTTTATCGAGGGTGCTGGATTATAAAGTGCCGG